CGAGGGGAGGGAGCACGGGGGGGGGGGGGGGGGGGGGTCTCAGTATGGTGCGAGTCGTGAGCCCGGCAGTGCTGGCATTCACCATTTGCAGGACTGACAAAGAAAACTTTTAGGAGATGGTTTACACTTCTAAAATGAGCCCTCCTCCTCAGCAGCAGAGGAAAGCCGTTAAGAAACCAGACTGCTTTTGAGGAGAGCTAAACACTGCAGGCTAATGCCACAGTATGAGCCCCCGCTATTAAGGGGAGTGGGCAGATGTGACAACACCTGCACCAGCACCTGAGGAAATACCCAAGGGGAACGTCGTGGGTGTGTTCTTTGACATAAAAACAAGTAGCTTTTTTTCAGGACACAATATGGTGGGTTCGATGATCAGTTCAGGTTGGAAAAGGGTTATTGTACTTTTATAAGAGACAGCAGGTTTCCATCCAGTGAAGGCAACTAAGGAAAGGCACGGGTTGAGTCTCTCCTCGTTAGAGATCTAGGCAGTATTTTTAGATGAGCTTCTTGACATTTCTGGCATGTGGAAAAGCAAGACGAGACTCTAGAAAGCCTTCCTCAAGATGTGAGTGGTACATGGTACTATTACGGGTTCATCTGGTGCTTAAGAGTAAAAGAAGTCTTCCTAAAAATACTGTGCGATACATCATCTTGTTCCTTACCTGATGATTTTTCTCTTTTATATTTTTTAAAACTATTAGAAGAATTTCTGGGAAAAGGCTGATAAAGATCAGGAGAATTATTGCCAGCCACGTGGAAACAGAAGTCAGCATATGGGCAAATACAAAATACATTCTTTGCTGCTTCAAGAAAGGCCTGAAAAAGAAAGGATACAAATAAATTCTCGTTAACACAAATTTCCCAAGAAGGTCAGAATCAAAGGTAGATTCAGATGAAACTATTAGCAGTAACGCCCCCCTTTCAGATGGAAATGGATACAGCCTGCACAGAAACACACTGTCCATCCTTCTCCCAATGCACCTCCTGCCCTCAATGGCCCTAGCTCTGAAGGACTGTCCTGTCACCTTACACGATGTATTTTGCATCTTCCACATCTGTTTCATTTTGGGGTGGGGAGGTGTTTGAATTTTGCTACTGTCACCTATTTTGCTACTATCACTGAAAGATAAATTATTCACCTTATCAAAAACCAGATCATTTTATTTCAACTTTGGACTTTGCTATAGCTTCTGGTTTGCTTTTGATGGTGGAAATCCAGAGACTCTTGGTCCCAGTAGGTTATTTGCCTCTTCCTCCCTCTCCTGATGATGAGCGGAACCAACAGATGCTTCTGAAAAACGCCTCATAAATAACTGATGACAAGGATCCCAAAGCAGTTGTTGCTTAGCATTAACTTAAAAATATTGAGCTATGCAAGTTAAACACACCAATAGAAAACTCACACATTTCAGCACGCAGATCTGGCTAGATCGCAGACCTGAATCTGTCAGTTAAGAACGCTGAAAAGTTAAACAAAGCCCATGACCCTCAATTAAAACATTTAAATCAGTTCCACATCTTTATTAGCAGGCTGCTGGGTCAAGGATCTAGCCAGTAACCCATATGGCACTAGCCCATGGGAAAGCAAAGGTGTAAAATTGAAGATGCTGTCTACTATGAATGTCTACTCCACATAGAGTAGAAAACAAGTAATATTTGTAATGTACTGTTGCTTGCCTGCTTTTGCAAGACATTAAGTCTAAAATCCTGGTCACACTCAAATCAATGAGAATTTCTTCTCCTACTCAGATCCAGGATTTCCAGCAGCAGGATCTGCGCTTTCTCTGGCTTATTTCTCCCCCTTAAGCCGCCCCAGAGTGCCGGGTCCTCTTGCTCTGCATCTGCCTCATTTTTTCTTTCCTTCCATATCACTGGGTTTCTTTTTTTCTCAATTTTTCCTTTCTTTCCCATCCACACGCACAAACAGATCCTGAAATATTTACCCTGGAACCTCGCAATGAAGACAAGGGCCTCAGCACCAGAAATGACCCCGCGGGCAGAAAAGCAAACCACCTCTTGCCAAAACCGAGCACCTGGATGGCGACCAGGGCGTTATCTGCTTTTAGGCTACCTCTTTGGTAGAGAAAGGAGCATGGTTGCACACACCCTGCCATCCGTAAATCTCTGGATAGCCCAACCGAGGGGATGCGGCAGCCACGTCCCGCAAAGCCAGCGCCGGGCATTCCCCTAAGAAAGCACCGTGGAAAGAAAAAGAGATACTTGCCAAATGACTCCTCCCCAAAAGAACGAGAAAAACACATAGAAGGCAAGGGAGCCCCAAATCACAAAGTGGTTCATCCACGTCCAGAATCTGGTATCTAACGCTAGCTGTGTGAATAAGAAAGGAGACAGAACAGGCGTTAGATGCAGAGTGTATTTGATGGTATTTATATCAAACTTCAGACCGCTTTCACAGAAAGGCTGAAGGTTCTCCAAACAGCTACCTCTCTGCATACGTGCACCAGCGAAAATATTTTCAGTAGCTACAGATTGGCACAATGTCAACAGGGAAACAGCGAGTTTCTAATTGTAACTGACACTTTTTAATAGAATAAATTTGATGTAACCTCCGACGCTACAGGAAAGAAATGTCTAAAGGTTACGGGGACTGTAATTGCCTCCTGCCACCACCTGCTGTCCTGAACCAAACATAAAAGACCTTTTGTAAGGTCTTATGCAAACTGTTCGTTCTGGAAAGCTCCATGAAACAAAGCAGATTTGCTATTATTATTTGACAGATGTGCTTTTGTGATCCCGCCGGTGCTTAACGGTGTCTGGAACAAGGTGGACAAATATAAGTTCTCTATTGTTTCCTCTCCTCTTGCTGGAACTGAACGCCAAGGGGTGAAAGTGTGGGGGAAAAAGTCAACCGTAACCAACTGGAGCCCTCAGAAGAGGGCAAAAAATGGGAAAACAAGTTTACCAAAACACAAACACTTTAGAGCAGCACAGCCCAGGAATACAGACCATAGACTACACAAAGGAACAGCGGTCAATAAGCAAGTTCTGCCTCTATGGAAGAAGAGAAGATTTAAGCGTGGTGGGAAACATGCTCACAGAAACTTCATCTTCAACACATTTACTGCACGATTTTATAGCGCACACACATGCATTGGAAAATGACTGCAAAAATAAGTGACTGGAAAAGGAAGGAAGAGCCTAACCTTCAGAGTGACGGTGAACACCAGCACGGTGAAAACAATCGTCCCAAAGGTCCAATTCCCAAAAACCTGAAAAACACGTTACATTGCCACAGGCATCTCGGTCCATCTCCTTGGAGAGGCACAGAAACGACGATGAGGACAGGGGTGCAAGCAGGGACCAGAGGGGAAGGATGGGATGGAGCGACTGCTACGGGGGATTGATGCTCGGAGAGGCGCCGGGCGCCCCGCACGACTTGCCGCCCGCTACGCTACCCTGCGCCATGCAGTGCCACACAGACAGATGACCCAGAGTTGGGAGAGTGACAGGTACAACCTCCTACTAACAGCAATGTTGATCGAGGACACAAGTCATTGGACCACCTGTATTTCATGATTTCTTGGTAATTTACTCAGTTTCTGCTTTCTTGCAACACCTCTGCTCATCGTCTCGCTTTAGTCCCATTTGCAGAATGCACCAATGGGTATTTTTCCATCTGGTTTGGTTTGCGGATACTAGTGACTATGCACGACAAAGAAAAGCAGATACTGTATATAAATCCAAATGATGGCAATGAATGGGAGGGATGCTTACCAAAGGCTGTCAAGATCTGAATGCATACATTAAAACAGAAAGTGAAATGTAAAAGTTTTCAAAAAATGCAAAAAAATTAAAGTCAATAGGAGCGAAAAAGGAGTCAATCAAACATACATGGGTATTATGAACAATTGCTGGTAGCAGTTCTTACAGGCGTAAGTGTTTACAAAACAGGACATAACCACAGATCTTATTTTAGTGACACTTAGATTTGACCTCTCAAGGCATTTGCCGAACATATCAGTGCTTCATGTTTTATTCAAATACAAGCAGAATGGCCATAAATACAGAAAGGCACTGAATCTATAATATAGGTGCTTGACTACTTATAGCTGGGACCATAAATGCTGGCATTGATGCAACATATGCATATACATACATAAATTTCATCAGCTTTTCTCCAAGTGTTAGCCACTAAAAAAGCTAAGGTATTTTCAAGGGTCGCAAGTGATGGTGTAAAGAAGTTTTCCATCAGCCGAGATCTGATAACACGCTGCGTACCCCCTTGGGGAAAGGGTCCTGAGACAGCCCAGGCCATCACGCGTGGTAGCCGCACCCCACTAATGCTTTGCTCTGTACTCAGTTAACCAGCAAAAAGAAAAAAAAAGGAAAAAGAAAAAAAATTCAATTCCAACCCCCCCCCACCCCGTTTCTGTGCAAGTTAACCCTGAGCAGCTCCCATACCTCGCTCAGGTGGCAATGCAAGCGCTTGTCCCGACACAAGAGGCACGAGCAAGCAGACAGCAGGGAGAAGAACAGCCTGCTCCTTCTGACAGCGGTGCTAACTTATGCTGGCTTTGAAGCGGTAGCAAAACCCCAGCGCCAGCCTTCCCCCATTGCAAAGGGAGGAGGGAGGCTGCAATCACGCCCCGGAGCAGGTGCAGCACACAAGCAGCCCTGTACCATGTCTGCGCTGACAAGCAGCATCTTATCAGGGTGGGATAATTCAGTCGCTCGTCACCAGCCGAACACGTGCCGAATTTCACGCGGCACGCGGGTGGGAAGGACGGGCACTGCTCCTGCCCTGGGCCAACGCCTGGGACCGCGCAGAAGAGTGGCAGAGCGCTGTGCAAAGCTCGCCGGGTTGGAATAAAGCTGTGTGTAAAACTAGTTATTTTACCTAGTGAGTATAACCAGCTCTGCCCTGTTTCCATGGCAATTTGGAAAATGTTTCATTTCAAGCATTTGCTGCAAAATCACACCATAAGCAAGGCTACACGGTCGGACAAGACTCAAGACACACCGCACAGATTAAGCGTGTAGATATTCCCTGCCAGGCATATAAAAGAGGCAGTGCACAAAAGAAACACTCATCTTTCTCTGTCTTTTTTTGGTGGTGTTACCTTTCCGTTATCTTCCAGCGATGAATTTTGAAAAAGAAAATAAACCCCAAAGAAAAACACGAGCCCTTCAAAGGCGCCCAGAAAGGTCCAGTACAGGAACGGCCTCCACTGCAGCATTGCATTATCCGAAACCTTCCTGCCAAGAGATGGAGCAACAAGAACATCACCGTCACGTTTAGGATGTGCTGCAAAGCCCCTCGCAGCCAGGTGATCAGCGGGCTTTGGAGCAAGCCCTTGCTGTAGGGGACAAGGAGGTAAAACACATAAATATCTCCCAGTGTACAGGACATAAACGACATTTGTCATATGCAGCCGCTGGTCATGAGAAATCATAAGAGGTTCAGCATATTAATTTGTTTTGTCCCTCTCCTCTAGGTAACTTGGATTAAAACCCAAGCCAGCCTAAAGCAAACAGCTGTAATGCTGTCCTGAGCCTCTCCCACAGCCCCTGCACTGCCCACGCTATCTGACATTAACTGCTGAATTTTAAAATCAGGGCAACGCTAAGGAAGAGCTGTATGGGATGCAGCGAATCTGTGGCGTGATTCCCCCTTTTTGTTGAATGCACAAACCCCCTCTTTGAGCAAAGCTCTGCAAGTCCTGTTTCTGGAAGCGGTGTTTTTCTGCACAGGCTGAAAATAACCTCCTGAATCGTATGGTGGGTGTTTTTAACACGGGGGTTGTAGCAGGAGGCTCTTGGCTGAACATAGGATGAGATCTGGCGCGGAGGCAGCAGCAGCAAATGGATGCGCTATGGGCAGAGCTCTGCATGGGCTGCAGGCAAAGCCCAGGGAGAGGCGAGCGGCCGTCAGGGCAGCAGGGAGTTAAAAAAAAAAAAAGTTTCTGCATCATTATCTTTTCAGATTACTTTCTTTAAAACGTGAAGATTGATGAGGGATAAAAGCATGTTTATGACAAAACCAAAAATCCCCATTCTTTCCTCATTTTTCTTCCTAACTATTAAAGCAATACATCCCTTTTCAGCAAGATGCACCTTGCAAACCGGTGTGGTGCTGGGCTCCTGTAACTGCAGTTTCTAAAACAAAACCCTACCGAATCCTACGCACGGTGTTGCAGTGACAATGCTCTAACATACTGCAATTTGGGTACAAGAAAAGAGCATGGATAAACTAGACTGTAAGTGGGTTTTATTGCAAGAAGAGAAAATACAACCAACTTCCTCACTGCAAGCTCTGTTTTGCATTTATATTTATGTCCTGCAGCGCTCATCGTAAACAGGCTTTTTACAGTGCCTCAGACTAGAGATCTGCACTGCAGCAACTCAGCGCTTCATACAGCAGAGGCGCAGCAGTCGTTTTGCATTCAGCAGCACATGCACAGTCATGAATATTCAAACTAAAGCTATCTGCCTGCACAATTAATCTGTTTACCCTCAATGGACGGACCCCAGAGATCAGACAGCCCACCAGGCGAATGCACAGGGGCCTGCTGTTATTGGTCTATGCTGCACAATATTCAATTACCAATTTATTTAAAAATACATGGGGTGGCATTTTGCCATACGAGTGGAGGAACGCAGCGGTCTAATCAATCATGGATCTGAGTACTTATTTCAAAAGCACCCAAGCCTCCTTCCTAGTCTTACCACCCCTTATCGTATTTGCTAATTTTTCTATACCTAAAGCAACTTTCATGCAGTATCTTTAGGTGCCTGCTCATTCCCTTTGCTGTCCCTGCAAAGGCATCACTCTTGGCTCGAGCATGGTTTGCCACACACAGCCCCTCCGCGGCTGAGGAGCATCGTACGACGGTGACAGGGCTTGCACAGGGCACTGGCCAAAGCAGCCCCGACCTGGTCTCTCTCCACAGGGGTGAGCTCGGCGCTGAGCTTACTGCCAGGCAAGGGAATTAGCAACAGCGATGCACGAACAGGGGCTTCCCCAAAAAAGCATCTTCCTTAGTCCTTGCTGAAGGACTGCACCCAAGTACGTGTGCGTGGGCAGGGGTGGGGGGGAAGATGGGAAACATCTCGGTTTCCGTGGGAGGTTGGAGCCCCCCTCAGTTGCAACCAAAGAAGGAGAGAAGGCGACCAGCAAAGCAGAGAAAGGCAGTCTCCTCTTAAACTGGGCTCTCCACGGGCAACGTGGCAGAAAACTCTGAGCGCGTGGATCGAAGAGCAGAGTTCCCCAGTAATAGGCTCCGATACAGGGATTTGGCCTGTGGAGGGGAAGCCTGGGGGAGGATATCTGCTTAGGCCAGCTGAGAACCTACCTGCCTGAGCTGGGCTTCAGGAACATTTGTCTTTCCAAAAATGAATGGATCTTTTTTCCTCCTGAAAGCTAGATCTCCCCTCCATCCATTACACGCTCTATCACGTGCTTGGCTCAAAGTGAATGTGAATGAACGGTCTGGCCATGCTCACAGCTTGATTTTTCTTACGGATGAAAAATTCCACCTACACTTTATTTTTTTTATAGAGACACAGCAGTGCAATTTGCTAGACCAGATACTGTTAGAGAGCATAAATAAGTAGAAATACGCAGTAAATAGGACATTGCTCAGCTCTAACGCAGAAGCAGCAGTGCCAGAAACAGCCTTTTCTGCAGTTCATAGCGACCCCATCACCGACACGGGACAGGGGCACCTGCTTACACTCCCCCACCAACAAAGCTTAAATTGCGGTTAACCAAATTGTGCAGAGGCTTACCCAGTCCAGTGCTACTTACATATACAGCTGAGGATCTGAGGTCAGCGTGTCGATGTTGATGTGCTGCTCCAGGAGGCTGTAAGCCAGGATAGGTAGTGATGTGAAGCAGATGTTGTACATGGTAAGATAAGCAGCATCATACAGTGGCTTAAAAGAGGAGGAAAGGGTAAAATGAGACAGAAATTCCACTTTAAAAGTCTCCCTGCAAAGAGATTAAAAGTTTCCAGCCCTTGCCTCCGTACATACCCTGCAGATTCATCCTTTGTCATAGCCACACAGGACAGTTTCATTTCATAGGGGTCACACTCTGTACAATGCTGGGGGTCCAAGGCACCGGCAGGCTGCACGGCTGGGACCCCACTCCCACCACTGGGAAGTTTTGTAACTGGCTGGTCTCATCTCCAGCTCATTCTTCAGAAAAACGTGACTAAACAGCCCTTATCACAGCTCTTCTGTAGCTGCTCTTGTGCTGCTATTAATATGCTTCATGTCTCCTGTGACTCTCTAAAGACTAGACTGTTTTAGAGGAACTATGGCTGCTTTTTTTTCTTTTTTTTTTTTTTAAAAAAAAAGCAAGTGGTTCTGCCGAGACAAGCAGAGAATTATCTCCTATCATTTACTCTTCCTTACCGTTACTTTTGAGCCCAAACAGACACAAAAGCCCGTAAGCTGACACAAAAGCCAAAGGTCTTGTCTCCAAGCAGGTGAGCCCACCCGCCACATGGATCTGTCCTTCTGATGCTCACTTGGACTAAGCAAGTCTCTGATGACACTCATCGTGTGTCTTTTTTTAAAGGCTGTCATAGAAGAACGAACCGTTCTTCCTTTTGAGACACATCTTTAATGCATAGAAATGCAGCAGAGGAGAAAAGATCGGGAAGTCTTTGAAAACTTCTTCTCTTAAGTGAAGTAGAAGTAGCAAAATCAGGTGCTGACAAACCAGCTAAACCCCTCTCTCGTTATTTTAGGAAGGTGTCCATCTATGTTTATGGGTGGTGGATGGGAAAAGAAAGCAAGCAGATTTCTTTCTTTTCAGTTATGGGTCTCAAAAATATTATGCTCCAGATACGGTGCTGAGCAACGAGGTCGGTTCCTACTGTCCTCTAAAGCGAGGCGAGGAAGGGACAGGACGCCAAAAGCCAAGTCTCTGCTAGGAAGCCTCATTGTGCCTCTTGCTTTTTATCCTGGCTTTATAGACACATTACTGGAAGTTACCTGCTGTGAGAATCCACAGAAGAACTGGTATAAAAACTGCGGTAAAATGAAGCAAAGGTTCTAGGGAAACAAAAGACAAATGGTTAGCAGGGAAGCGCTTGACTTCTCAATCTAAATCCAAATAATTTTTCCTGTTACCAGGCATTAGTGTCTGATATTGTAATATCAGACAAGTAAGGGCACTGTTTTCTACCAAGCACAAAACTAATCCAAAGAGCAGTTAGTATCTGCAGAAGACACTGGAAGAAAGTCATGCTCACATTCCCCTGTAAGCACTGCTTTCAATTGACAGGCACACGGCAGAGACACAGTCTATTCCAGGGAAGGAAAACAGAGCTACAGAATAGCCTATACATTTTTTTCCTGTTTACTATTTTCGTCTATTGTCAAAGAAACCCATAGTATAAACAAAGAAATAAGCTGCACATGCATCCTTACCTTATAGAAGAAATACTGTACAAGGTGTGCTATTCTCACATAATATAAATGCCCATGTGCTAGTAGCAATTTTCTTAAATGTTTAAACTTTGGCACAGCATAGTCACTGTTTCTGGAAGCCTGCCGTCCTTCTTTGCCTTTTATACCTGCAGACAGAAGCGTGGCAAGGGGTTAATCCCTATGGGACTGGAATCTGGACCGATGCTATGGCAAGGGGTTAATCCCTATGGGACTGGAATCTGGACCGATGCTACCCACTAGGTTTGTTCACATCACTCAGTGTCTCAAGGCATGACAAAGGCCATATTTCCCTCTCGAGTGCCCCAGGAGAGCAAAACGCTAACGTGTCGCAAGACTCGGCGTAGTTTTGGCTCCGCAACAGTCAAGACCTGCCTCTGGAGTTTTTAAGCTAGATTTAGGTTGCTGTCTGAGTTCCTATGTGAGAGAGTGTGGTGAAGAGTATCTAAGCAAACCTGATAAAAGATAAGGAACTGGTTTCCTCACAGGCTTGCCCGCATCTCACACACTCTAGTTATTTCATTGCAGACGCTCAGCTTCCCGAGACATCCCTGCAGAGCAGAGCTCAAGAAAGACAGTTTTGTTCACTCAAAAGCCACATCCAAATGAACTGCACTGGGACCCCATTCATTAGAGGGCACCGCGGCATTTCCACCAGCCCCAAATAAAGAGGCTGCCCTTTCTCTTCCATCGACCCTTCTTTAGCGGTATTAAAAAAATCTCCAGTATTTCCTGCATCTCTGACACCAATCTGCAGAAAGGAGGATAGTTTCCAGCCTGATGTCAGTCATAGGGACACGGCAGACACAACACAACTGAGCATCAGCCCCCAGGAAACGTGTGCAGGTCCCCAGTGTTGAGTTACTAGCAGCTGCGACCAGATAGCCCTAATAAAGTGTGATATTTTCATTGCACTGCCTCTGCAACAACTGCCAGCAATCACCCATCAGTTTGCTACTTGTGCTTTTTTTTTTTTTCTCTGATCAGCAAGCGACCTTAACCACCTTGAATTTGGCCATAGAGTTTTTGAACACAATCTGCAGTTTACCACTGACAAAGAGAGTGGTACTATCAAAGGTGAGCAGTATATGACAATCCCAAGCATTTATCTGGAGTCAAACCCCGGCTCCAAAGAAAGCAACAGCAGACTTCCCACATTTTTCAGTGGGATTAGTTTAGCCATGTGCAATCAGAAATACTGACTGCGCCTCAACAGTGAACCCCAGCAACCGCAGACAGGTCTTAGGTGTCAGCTGGGTGTTATCAGGGGTCTTACCTATTCCAACGTGTGCTTCCAAAATCATACTGACATCATTTGCACCATCCCCTATGGAGAGTGTTATGGGGCTCCCTTTTGTGTTCTTCACCATTCGCACAATCTAGAAGATTTAAAAAAGGGTAACAGCAGAAACCAAGAATGCAGTAAAAATCCGCCCCACTTGCAAGAGCCCCCCCAGGACAAGTAGCCGGGCTTTTACAACAGCAAAATAACACCTGGAGAGTTCAGATTAATAAAACCCCTTGTTATTTCCTTCGCTGTCACCAAGCAGAGCAAAAGCCAAGATCCAGCTGCACAGGGCTGAAGGACGGTATTTAAAAACAAATCCCAGGCAGCAGCATCCTGCCCTTCCCTTCTGCCAGACCCTGCTCTCCCCAAAATGGGACCTCTCAGGCATTTCAGGGGGCAGGAACCCCTCGCAGAAACCCTCCCATGGGGCAGAAACACGCCGCTTATCGGGCTTGGATACCATCAGCTGGCCTGAGGAAGTCACAGACTCCACTTGATAAATTTGGAAAGGAATAAAGAACAAATCGGGGGGTTTTTTGTTTATTTCTAATTGGCTTGGACTTGTGGCTTCCTGTGAGCATATTAAACAAAGCTTTTACATTCAGATTTGAAAGACCTGTGTGTTTCCATCATGTCCTGAAGCTCAGACGAGGCTTACACATAGCCTGGAGAAGCCCTAGCTGATTAAAATGATCAGGTCAAGTCCCAGCCAGTGGATTAAAAGTGCATTGCATCACCTAATGATGTGCTTCAGTCAGTTGAAAGTAGAGTAAATACCTGTGCTTTCTGCAAAGGAGCCATCCGGCAGCAGAGGACTGCGGTACACTTCAAGCAGATTTGTAGAAATATGTTTTTGTAATTACTAGAACTGGAGTCCTGAGAAGGGTTGAGTATCAGCGACAGCGTTGAGCCATCTATTATCAGGCCGTATTCTTGACTCAACGTCCAGCTTCTGCAACGCAAGGAGGAACAGGTTGGAAATAAAATCAGATTTTAAGAAGCCAATCTAGCTATTTGTATCATCTTAGTGGAAATGAAATCGCTTTTGCATTAATCTTCTTCCCATCCCTTTTTCGGGGCTTAGCAATCTTAAAAAGCTTGGATTTAACGTGTGCTCTTCAGTAAGGGAACTGTGTAATTAAGTTCAAAACCAACTAATACTAGAGATGATGAGCAAAGCGAAGGAGCCAGCTGCAGTCTGTGCAAGCAGCGAGTCCCCAGGGCTACAACACGGTCCTATTTCTCTATAAACTTTACATTTGCATCCCAAATGCACACGGGCTGGGTCCTCTTGCTCACTTACCTCTTCAGGCCTCCCCGGTTTTTGGGAACGTCCTGAATCAGCTTTTTATGGTACTCCATCAGCAGCTCATGGAGCCGATCCTCCTTTCTTTCGCTCTCCCCCACGGTTTTCGCCGTCAGCTCCAGCAGCTCGGTGCTGGTCTGGAAGAGCCTGCAGGCGTAGCAGGTGGATTTGGCAGTTTCCATCTTGTCTCCCGTCAGCACCCAAACCTTCATGCCGGCTGCGTGCAGAGCTTCTATCGTCTCTGCTGACTGCTCCTGCAGCCTGAAAGCAGAAGCAAAACATCACTGCTCAGGTTGGTCCGCGCTTAATCCATATAACCCTTATTTCGCAGGTAGAAAATATCAGCTTGAGAGATGTTAATTGATTTTCCCTGTGCTGGAGAGACGACTGCCACAGGAATAAGGGTTAGAAGTCAGCAATCCCAAATTCTTATTTGCAGCCAAAAAAAAATAAAAATCACTCAGACCTGAGTCAAGAGTAAGAGTTTAATTTACACATACAGCTACCGTAAGTGCACGTGAAACTGCATTAGTTTTGATGTGCAAATTAATGCTGCATGCTTAATTCACTCTCTAGAAGTGCAAATACTTCTATGTAGTAGAAATGTAGTTTCTAATAAATCCTAATTCCTACCATACCAGCCAATTTCAGCAACTAGGGCACTGTGTCATGGGTTGTGCCATGGTGTAACTAATTGCCCTGGACACTTCCAGCATCTGCCTGGCTGCTCAGTTCCACCACGGTGAGTCAGGGCCACGATGCAACGTCTGGAGAAGCTGCAGGTACTGCAGTGTCGGTGCTGGTGGTCACCTCTTTACCTGTCTTCTACGGCAGTGGCCCCAATCAAGTGCATGTCTGCTTCTGTGTCTTCAAAAACCTTTGCCATCTTTTCCTCCCTGTCCTGCAGAGCCATCTTAGCTTCATTAAGCTGTCTGTCAATTTTGTCGTACTCCTTCTGAGTTAGTTCTCTGAACGCCACACAAAGCGTTCGGTAGCCATCCTGGTAGGGGGAGGGAAAGAAATTAAAGTGGACAAGTGCCCTAAAACCAGATTTTCTACAGCTCCTCACTTTAGGGTTAGTGCTTTTCTCCACCATCAGTACTTTCTGTCAGTACTGACCCTGACGGCAATGACAGTTGGCTGGCTTGAGTCAAAAGACCAATTTCTCTGTGTTTATACAGTAACTTCTTCCCATCGGAGTAACCGTGGTTATGCTTATTACGTGCACGTAATATGGCAGACAGAAACTAAGACAGAAGGACCAGAGCCGAGAGCGTGCATCCAGCAGGGAGAGCTGGGACCGGTGTCCCCACAACAGGGACCAGGCATTTCTCCCACCGGAGAAAACAGCCTGCTATTGTTACTTCTATTTTTAACTTGCTTGGGAGATGCTTGGACACAACCGTGATGGAGACCATATAAGTATATCAAAAGTCAAATAAATGTTGGAAGCCAAAGAAACAGAAAAGGAAAGAAGCCTGGCTTCAAAACAATGTGAAGTGACACTCAGATTTTCAACACTTCCCTCCAAAGCAAGGTCACATCCCTATTTTTGGAATAAGGCTTTCCTGACCCCAGGAGCCAGCCAAATTCCAGCTGCGTGCTCACCATAGCGTTGCGGTCCACATGGACTTTCGTTTGTTGGATTTCTTCTTGCTGCACCCTTGGAAAAATAGAGGAGTCTGCTCCTTTACAGAAGAGAAGCAACTTTCCTAAAAGCAAATTATAAATAGTTTATAGCATTCACAAGCTGTAGAAAGACTTAACAGATTCAATAGCCAGCAAATGATGCAGAGGGAGAAAATCTGGCAGGACTAAAGAAGGAATTGCTAGAAGCCCAGTTGCCTACCAAAAGTGGCCTCGCACTAACCTGTGCAAAACCTTATTTGACCTCAGCTAGAATATGGGGTGTCCCTACCTGCCTCTGAGCAAGCTTTCTGCAACAGGCTGGACAAAGCACTTTATTTTTTCCTATTTAGAAACCTTGGCAACCTTTTGGAGGAGAGTAAAACCAGCATCCCATACCTTACAGGACTGACATTCGAGAAGGATGGTGACCTCTGAATTTTTGTCTGCTATCCCCACGAAAACCCTTCCCACTCAGGGGAAGGTCTCAGATCTCCCCCTGTGGTTGTACCTCCAGGCTGGAACAAGGCAAGCAGGGAGCTCTCCATGGGTCACTGTCTCCATCCCTGTCCCCTCCCCTCTTATCTGCTGCTGGCCCCCAACTGCTGCTATGGAGAAAATTAACTCTATCCCAACCAGACCCAGTACAGGATTTAATTAGACAGCTTAGAAAACCTAACAGCTTAGCCTCTCTGGGTTACAGCGCATGGCATTATGCACACTCAGTACAGGAATAAAGAGGATGTGTTTTATATTTGTGTACATGTGCACACATGTATGGGAGTCCAGAAATGCGTTTTAACTGTACCCGTGGAGGTTCTCACAATGACACTCATACGACGACGGACAGGATCAAAATTCAACACATGGAGAAGTTGGTACCTTAAAAAAAAAAAAAAAAATAGAGCTTAGAGTCAGTAAAAGAAAAATAACTATTTAAGACAGAAAATCACTAACAATGAGCTGCAGAAATCAATACTCTCTGCAAGCGGCAGCATCCACTGGGCAAGGTACTTTTTACAGCTACTGCACAAGAAAATGGAGTAAAAAAAACTCCAGTGCTGCTTTGAGCATGGGGCTGAGGGTGGGGGTGCACACACGAGACCTCCCACCAGACAGCAAAGCTTTGGGTTACAGCTTGTGACTGTGCTCCCCTCGCTGCCCACCGGTGCACCGAGCCCCCAGGCTGGGCAGCAGCTCAGCAGGCAGCGACATCGGCTCTGGCATTTAAGTAAGAAGTTTCCCTATAAGGGGAGTAAGAAGTGAAACTTGCTTGCAAAGGCAAGCTCTCGGGGAGCGCTGGGATTAGGTCAGTGATTCTCAGATGTCCCACGAGCTGTTAGCACAGTGTAAAATCTAATTGTTTTCAGCCTGGGAGGGGAAAAGAGTTCCAGGGAAGGGAGCCACATCACGCAGTTTAGGCTTAGAGTATCTCGCTGTGAGGCCCAGCCGCTATCCGTAAGGTCAGCAACCAGCCCGTGAACCCCGGGAGCCATCTGCACAGCCAGGCACGGATGAAGGATACATGCAAGGGACCGCATGCCCTCAGGGGACCTGAATTGAGACGTCACTAAAACAGCCAGTTTTTTTGCAAGCAAGCCTTCCAGCCTGCACCTTGCTGTGCCAAGCTTTGTAAAAAGGACAGGAGGTTTTGGGCAGCCCTCACGGAACAGCTTTGACCTTGCCAGGTTGGCCACATTGACCAAACTCGATCAAGCCGGGCGAGAGCCAGTGCAGCACTAAGGGCCCTGTTCCTCGGCAGCCCCTGCAGCACTTACATTTCAGTTTCATTCTTTTGGTTTCTTATTTTCATGAAATCGTTTTCAAGTCCTAGAAAAGTGAAACCATACCTGTCAATAAACAAAAGGACAGAACAACATTGAAAACACCCATTGGCACATATTATACATTAACAACGTTCTCGTTTCATCTTCTGGACTGCAGAGCCGAGCAAAGAAGTTAGCGAGCCTGAGCTAAAAAGCTTGGCTAGATGTTTGCTTGCTCCACGCAGAGCCTGCTGTGATGTTCTGGCACCGCTCCCATGACCTGGAGAGCTGTGCACCACAGCGCACAGATGCCGAGAGCCTCTGGACGCGGTCCCCCGGGTCTCCAGCAGATTTACAAGCCATGAGCAAGTATATACAGCTGCAACAGCCTCCGTCTAAAATCTGGGGGCTGGCAATAGCACAGAATCATAGAATGGTTTGGATTGGAGGGGATCTTAAAGATCACCTAGTTCAACCCCCCTGCCATGACCAGGGATACCTTCTACTAGATCAGGTTGCTCCAAGCCCCATCCAACCTGGCCTTGAGCACTTCCAGGGATGGGGCAGCCAAATCTGGGTTTGATAAAAGTTATTATTTTTGCCACCCTATTATTTTTCCACTGCATGCCAAGGAAGCAATTTGGCTGCAAGAAGCACATGGTAACTGGTCTCCATTTCTTGGGGATTAAAACACATGGCCACGGGGGCTCCAGCAAAGGAGCCTCTGCCTCAGCCGGGCACTGCAGCACCTTGGGGCTGCTTTCAGCAGTGGATGCAAACCAGGCCTCCTGAGAAGCTGCTCAGGGAAGACCCTTTGCAGAGCATCCCCTTTTACAGAGAGCTCATTTAAGCCCACAGGCTCGCATGGCTTCACAGGGCTGCGGGTCAGGCCCAGTGTTGGTATCACAACGTGCTTCCCAGACAGAGATGCAGTCTTGACCAGGGAAAGGGATCTACCACGTTCAGATAACCCCCACCTCCCTCCCACCAGGAGAGAGGGAATTAAAAACCCAACATCTCTGTATTCTTACTTTTCTGCGCCTTTCACCAAAGCAATTTCATCTGGGGAAGAGGAGATATAGGAGTATTTGCATTCTGGATGTCCTATCAGCCCATCCACCTGGTCTGCTTCCTTGATCTGAACGGTGTGGCACAGGCAGAGGGCTCGCAGGAACAGCTCCTCGCGGCTCTAGGCAGGAGTGAGGGAGGGCTCGTTACCAGCTTAATGCCGTGCACCGAGCCCACCTCGCAGCACTTGGTTGTGATTTTTGTGTATGCATGTTTTAAAACAAAAAACACACACCCACTTCCCCAGCTTCTGCTGTATTTACCCAGCCAGGAGCTGACCACAAAACCCTAACAGTCATCAACACGCAGATTTCTTACCTTTTCTGCTTTGCCATAATATTTTAGGGGTCCATCAGTCTGAGAGAAGCCATCCACCTCCGAAATACAGTCTTTGTACTTGTGCCCGTCTATGCAGCACTCGATGAACTCCATGCTGTTCTCCGTCAGGGTCCCGGTTTTGTCCGTGAAGACGTACTCCACCTAGAAGGAAGTGGGCAGGCTGCCTCGCTGCATCCCCAGCCCCATGCGCCAGGGAAGGAGCTCCTCAAAACCAAAAAGGCTGCGGCATTTTAGTGCATCTGTGGCAATGCTGATGAGTACTTTACTGCTATCCTAACCTGGACCCCCAAAAAGATGCAGGTGCCCCACGGGAGTTACACCACTGTGTAGTTTTACTACTTTTCTCCTCAGAGCAGCTCCTTCGTTTTTCAGTGGTTTTGCACAGGTAGCAGGAGGCAGCTCCTGAAGACTTAAAATCTGTTTCCAGGCTCTTCGTTTTCCCCTAATCCTCTTTATTGGGTCTTTTGCTATAGCTCCTAGCACTTATATAGCTGCTGCTGCAGCTCTGCTGCCTCCTTTGGGGGATCTTCATTTTGGTGCTGTATTTCAATTAGGTAATTGCTACTCCAAACTGATTTTTTAATTTTTTTTTAAGCAAAATAAAAAGCAGGAGACACTACTCATACCCCACACTCAGTCTCTCCTGATGTAGATAAGAAAGGGAAGCCTGAGCTAATTGCCCCAGCAAAGCCAGCAACAGCGTGACTGCATGTGCACTGCATGCCTAGAGAGATGACTGGGCAGACATTTTCGTTAATCCTCAAAGAGACAGAGGATTTTTAAGTTCTAATTGAAGCAGTGAAAGCAAACCACCCTGACGTGCAAAGCGCTGTGCCTGATATTCCCCAATATGGAAACAATCGGCATGACCCAATTCCTGCTCTTTCGTGCACTGTTCATGACCTTATCTGTTTCACAGAGCGAACAGAATCACGTTAAATGGAAAGTGCCACCAAACCAGCTGAAGCTCTGCCCTGAGGGGACCGCGAGGGACTGCCACAACAAGGGTTCCTATCAGGGAAGACATTTTCGTCCACATTTTCATCCAAGCAGATGCAAACAGAGCATGTTCTGACCTGCCCGAGCTCTTCGTTGAGGTCCGAGGTGTTCACCAAGGCCCCCTCTTTAATTTCTTCATCGTACATCTCCTTGTCCCAAGAGATGAAGAAGGAACCCAAGAATTTCTGCATCTCTACTGTAACGTACATGGAGACTGGGATAATAAAATTGAAGAGGACCATAAATGACAAGAAGTCCGTGAACATCCGCAAGACCTGCAATGGAAAGAGGAGAAGAAGATGCAGTCTGTGCCCGTCAGGCGTAACGCAGGGGCAGTTCACAGCAACACCTCTGGGGTTTTAGACAGCTTTTCTTCTAAGGTTAAATAGAGAAAAACAACCCAAAAATGAATACAGCTAAGATACAGGGCCAAATTCCATTTTCCTTCAATGTAGAAAATCTCATTGTCTTCCGCAGATCTACGAGAGTATAATACCAGAGTATATCCCACTGCTTCATAGTGACCAAATCCATGTTTTATTCAAGTATATTTCTCTTAAGAATATAGTGCTACAGGCTCATTCTGATCTCAATTAACTAGAAACAAGGAGCAATTTAAGTTTACCTACTAAAAGCAGGAAGATAGATCAAGTTCAGATAAGGATCCAGGTTAAATCGGCGGCTGCATTTATATAATATGCAATATTTATTTATGCTTTGCCCTGCTCCACACAAGCATCGCCGTGCACAAGCATAAGAGAGGCAGGAAAAAAATGCAAACAGCAGGAGAGCCCGAAGAAAACGACAGCACTTGCAGCAAATAGGACTCGCAGGGCTGGCAGAAGACATTATCAGATTAAATAAAACTGTCAGAATAAATAAAGCTGGAGGAGGTGCTGAAATACAAATCCACTTACCTTGAACGTCTCTCTCTCTTTTTTAGTCTTTTCGTTGTACCAAGGCTCATCATTAAATGGATTGCTCTGCCAGACATATTTCAGAGTCGTGCACACAGTAGCCTTGCTCAATAGGATGCACAAATACACTATCAAGAAAGCGTTGATAGATCTGAAAAATAGGTTTCTTTTTTAAATTCTTGCAGCTATTTTTATATAGAAAATCACGCAAATGAGCAGAAACAAGACTTTCTTACTTTTAGGAAGGGAATTACAGAACAAGTGCTTTTGACAGCGCTGATAATTCAGTGTCAGTTCATATATTTTAACATTTCTTAGTTTTGTTTTTAAATAAAAAAGCTACTAAATGATGCAGCTTCCTGAAAGATATGCTTAATCAAATATACAGATTTTCTATGCAATCAGAGAGCGTCCGAAACAAAAGGCAGCGGATTAGGGGATTATTTCTGTGCAAGTCCTCCATAAAAAAAACCAAACAACAGCTTTTACCCATTTTTTGCTGACTGTAAATACTCACTTTTCTACAGCAGACCGTTTCTGAGATTTCCCTTGGTAGTTCAAAGCCATTTTCGTTTCCATTCCCGTATAGACTGCAACTCCTACAGGGTGTCAAAGCAGGGCTGGTAAGGGACTCGCAGCCCCGGAGGGACCCAGCTTGCACTTAGCCATAAGGGGCATCGGGGTTTACATGAAACTCGAATCCCAGTTGAAGAAAGAGGCATTACCCAAGGACTGTTCAACTACAGAAGCCTCCGAGGCTGCTAAGTGATGTAATTGCAAACATCCCAGAGCACTGAGCAGGAGCCTATGGATCACATACAGTCAGAAAAAAGTCTTCTCTAACAGCTGTCACCCTCTATCAGCGGTGGCTGGGACCGTGATCCTAGCACACGTTTTCAGCGAAGGGTTTGGGAACAACTCCCTGCTCTTTGTATCTCAGGCAAAACGAGAACCTTGCTCAGGTGTATGAACACAACCTGCACAGCTTGGCAGCACTGCAGATACAACCAATATCTCCTAATCTCACCCTGTAAACTCTGCAATCAGCTTGCATACTGAATGCAAATGTAAAGCCCTGGCAGACAGGCAGTAGAAGTATTTTCCCTCTCCAGATTTAGTGATGAGCATCTACATTTGTCATTATTTATCAGAACTATTTAAATAAATAAATAATAGTAGTAATAATAATAAAGTGTTCACCATAAATCTTCTTGGTATTTTTGAGGGTAGCACCTTTCAGCAACAGGTTTTCAGGACCCAAAGACCTAAACGTAAAAGAAGTTATAACTACATCACTCAAAGAACATTCAAACTTCTCCATAATTTAGACCCAGAGATAGATTATAAAGATAAACAGATGTTCTTCAGATCCGATTACTTGATTTGTATATTAAATTGGGCATTGCTTGAGTTTGGTTTTCTCTTTACATACTTATATTTCCATTTCATCTTACGCAGACTATTTTTGGTGCTCAAAGTTCCAAATTTAATGGGGGATTATCAGTAAGGCTTTTGAGGAATAAGTGCAAAATGTTCAGATCTAATATGTTCTGGTACTTATATAAAAACCTGATTTTAAAAGTATCGAAAACCTGTCCATTCCAGCACAGTCAAACAATGGCACCAAAGCCGATGGTTTATTTTGCTCCCATTCGTGTTTTTATTTCTCTTCGAAACCCCCACCCATGACCCTCCGTGGCTTCTAGGGTCCGGGTAGATGCACCACAGCACGAAACTCGGCCAGCACCGCTCCGGTGACAGCCGCCTGGTTTTGATGACTTATAAACATTATTTGCTTATTTTTTCCCAAAACACTCTGATGTTTAAGTTTCTGCTTTCCCTCAAATAACAATTTTTTGCAATTGCCTGGTAAATCTGTTCCCCATCAGCAGGGGAGGATATTACCAGGTGGTCCTGCACTGCTTCCCCAAGAGGGGCTCAAACAAGTCACAGGATGGCAGAAGAGCTAAGTGGAGAGGTTAACTACAGGCCTCCCTTAATAACGAAGTATTTGGAATGGTTAAAGAAAAACAACCATTCCCTTATGATGGCAGCACAAGTTCAGATCCTTGAAATCCGATGTAGGTGGCCAACGTCTTTGAGGAGGGCCAGCGAGGCGGCTGCAAGACCAACCTGGCTATGGGCTCCTGGTTGCTTCTGTAGATGATAATTCTTCCAACAAATCTGCAATAAAAATGAGAGAAACTCGTATTACAAACACATTAACCTTATAAAGAGCTACTACAGACATACTAAAAAAAGTCATTGACAGGAGATGGAAACAAACACATCAATGAGCGCATTTGAGAGTTTAACGCTTCAGAGGGGTTGCTGCACTCGGGACAGATGGAAACCACACACTCCCCACGGCCGGGGGTGCCCCCCAGCTGCCACCCAGCAGCGGAGCAGCAGTACCTGACCATGCCTAGGCACCCCAGCCCATTCCCACTGCAGAGTACAACACACCCCAGCAAAACTCCTTCAAGGGATTTAACCACAAAGACAGCTTACTCCTGGAAGTCATTCAGCCCGATACATTTTACTTGGAAGGTAGAGTGGCCTAAGAATAGGCACACGGACCGTTACTACAGCTGAGCTGACAAAAAATAGCTCATTAAAACACGACAAGTGTTTCACCGGGGAGGTTTTGCTGCAAAGAAACTGAGCCCTGAAGAAGTCCGCTGTCAACTTTGCCATCCTTGTACGGAAGAAGCCCAGCAGAAACTCCCAGCTGCCTCGAGAAACCTTTCGGTCTCTGATGAAAAGAAAACACCCTTTGCTTTGCTGAACTGTAACTTGTTAGATCCCCTAATCGACGGTGCTCAGGTGTCTGCAGGGAGATGACACCAGGCAGCGACAGGGCAGGATGGGCCGGAGGAGCCGGGATAGGCAGGAGGAGCAGACTCACTTGTAGAGGTCGGGCTGCGGCTGTTCACACTCGATCGTGGCAGTGAGGGCGTCGATGGCTTCATCCGTACAGAGCACGGTGGTATCCCGCACTGCGTAGTGAGTCTGGGCAGAGAAGCACAGGCAGTGTCACCGCAGGCCCCCAGCACCACCGCCCGTCCCCAGGTTTTATACCCCATTAATTAAAATACCACCATGCAAAGGCTTGTCAGCGCCAGCAGCTCACCCAAGCCCTCACCCCACTCCCACAAAGCAGCTGAAGCATCTCTCAGCAAAAGACTGAAGTCAGTAAGCTTAAGAGAAACCGTAGCGGGAAGGAGCTGCTGGACATCTGTTCGGTAAGGCATGCACCAAAAGCGTCTTTGTTTTTTCCCTGGGGACTTGCTGCCTCCCCGGCTGGGGTTGGGGGGAGGCTGCAGGTGCCCCCGGCGTGAAGGGGCTCCCGGGGACCACCCGCCCGCCCGCTCATGAAGGTAATTAGACGCCAGCTCCAGCGCCCAGGGATCAGGCAGAGCACTGGCAGACTCCAAGCTATTTTTAGCAGCTGCGGCTGTGAAGGTTCATCTCTCACAATTAACTGGAAAGCCCACGAAGGATCCGCTCGCTGCCTTCCAGGCTCTATTTATAGGAGCTACTCAGAGCTCCAAGTCACGGCGGGCTGCACGGCAGGCTGCCTCAATCCATCCTCATAAACAAATTCATTAAAAAGCTTCCTCCACTCCTTATGTTTGCGTTCCCCTCCTTGCGCACCCTGGGAGGAACCATTACGTTACACACGCTGTAGTCATGACATTATAAATACCCACCTTCATGCCGTTTTGGTAACCTGCCTGGCTTTTCGTATTGAAAGCAGACGCACCAACACACACGCACCTCTGGTATAAATCGCGGCTTTTGTGCAACACAACTTAAAACTGTTCCTGCAGTGCCCAGTACCAAACCCAGCCCTTGTGCGGGGTTTTGCATCCACTGCTACTGTCACCACGGACACCGTGCAATTACTGAGTGATACTTCAAAGCCACCTCCTAATCAATTCCACAATCTTTATATCCTCGGTCCCTTAGCGTATTTAGAAAACACACGTTCTTTTAGATAACGCATGACCAAAGATTCGCCCTTCAAAGACAGAGCCCTGACAAAATCCCTTTTATAGTTCTGCTCCAGTTTCACCTGACCAGGCATCTTTCTCATACCTTGACCTGGGGCATGTCATACCTCGACCTGACATGCCCCAAATACCAGAGAAATCCCCATCAGGTAGGCAGCAGATATCAGTGCAGATGAGGTTTTCTGTGTACCTGTGTGTGCTTCCCTCACCCTCCTTTCGCAGCAAAGCCTGGTTCCTAATGTTTAGACCTATTTCCCCAAACAGCACTTGTTTTTCTATTCCCCCCCTTCCCCTTCAAACTCATTTTCATCTCGTCAAGAAACAGGAGACAGCTCCCAGTCACCTACAGGAATCCACAAACCAGGAAAAAAAAACACCACAGCACTTGATATAGAAATTCAGCATTGCACTTGCAGACTCAAAAGTTAGTAAGAGCCAAGACTCTGCAAAAGTTATGTGAACTCATGCATATAATACACCTGACACAATTAAGCTATTGCCTATTTAACATGGTTATCTATTCTTAGCCTCAAGCCACTTCAAAGCTCCTCTCCTCTTCACTAGTGGAACCAGCATGGTGCACCAGCACTGCATCAGCTCCTACACAAGATTTCCAGTACCAATTAACAGCCACCCATAAAGAGACAAGCCACAGACCCCATACAATACATATCAGATCGACAATGGTACTCCCACTGACTTCAGAGTGTGCCAGAATGAATCATGTCATTTTAAAGTATCTTCCAGCCTTACTACTGCAGTTGCTAGTATCTGTATAAATATTTATCAAACACAAGTGCAACCAAATGTTCATGTCTTCTGACGTATATAATTTTTGCCTTGTTGTTGCTGCTTCTTTCC